ATAACAGACTCAGACTCAGAAAAAAAGTGGGATATTGATGCTGGGCTGGGCATCAGCCCACAGAACTTAAAAAACTGAACTCGTTCTTTTCACATGGAAGTATAAAATTCCTAATTTTTAGCACCAACGCTCTCAGGAACGGACCTGCGCTTTGCTGTTTCTGCAAAATATCTGGGACTCATCCTGGATAGAAAGTTGAGCTGGTCACAAAACTTAGAGGAAGGTCTGCATAAGGCGTCAATTGTCTACACCTGCAAAGGTGCGATAGGCCGGAAATGGGGCGTGTCATTAAAAACAGTGCGTTGGCTCTATGTTCCAGTTGTTAGGCTTATACTTCTCTATGGGGTTGTAGCCTGGGGGCCAGCACTTGAGAAAAAATCAATTATCTCCAAAAATTGATAGAGTAAAGAGGGCTCTGCACTTTGTATCACACCAGCTGAAGCTATGAATGATCTCTTGGATGTACTCTCCATTGACATAATGGGCCGCAGTAAGGCTACAAAAAAAATGGATAGTAATAAACAACCGGCCGTCTTCCAGAAAAAACGGATTACTATATATCATCCACTGACTTCACGGCAGATTTCAAGGATGTTATCCTATATAAAAACCTTTGGAACAGGAGCGTAGAGGACTGCTGCTTAACGTGATGGCCAAGCTAAACCTTATATGGGTACATGGACATAGTCACATACCGGGTAATGAGATTGCGGACGAGCATGCAAGGCCCTTCCACTTTCGCCATGATGGAAGAATTTGGGCATCTAAGCTCAATATAATAGATTTATTCGCTAAGGATGCTAATTTAATACGGAAAAGTCTAAATACATGTAATGTGGCGAAGATATTATGGCCAGAATGGAACGCAAGAAGGTCACGTGACATCATCGAGCTAAAAAGGAAGGAGACATCTAAAGTAATAGGTTTTCTTTTTCTTATAGGGCATATTCTATTCGGCAGGCACTCTGAAAGACTGGGCGTACCGTCTAACAATTTCTGCAAAAGTTGCTGAGAAGATTTCTATGCTAACGCTCCGCACTTTGGAGGAGTTGGTTGAAGTCGCTTTACAAAGTCCACTCACTGGTTTGATTAGCGGCTTGGGGTCGTTAGGATCCTCAGTGGTATCACAATGGGCCCGCCTTGGATTCTCGGTGAGCTGATGCCCAGCAACCACTGCAACCAACCCCCCAATCAAAAGACCGCAATCAGAAAAAAATATATAATATATAGGTTTGACTAGAATTCGACCAGCATTTTCTGCATAACAGTACGTTCTTCTAACCCTTCGTCTATTGAAAATTAGTTGAAGCTTAATAATTCATAGGGATTTTTCCAAACACCTCCTTAACAATGCAATAGCACGTCAGACCTTTCTTGTTTTCGCTCCTTGGCAGCAATTAGTAATATCGAGTAAAACTTTGTGGCTGTCAACCTGAGCTTTCCTGCGGACTGGAGATCTTCCTCTTCATCTGCTTCCGCCAACAAATACGTTAAAAACTTATTTTTCCATCTTCTGCGGTGTTCGCCTCTACCAATGCTCAAAGTTTCGTAAATTTTTCCGAACACGCTGCTAACGTCCACACAACACCATTCAACAGCTCTGTAATGGAGAGTGACTTGTAGAAATTTACCTTTGGTCGCGAAGAGAACACTTTGTTTTTCAAATGCTTTCACGGTCCAAAGTACCACCTGTTGGCAAGAGTAATACTGCGTTGAATTTCAACTCCGTTCTCCACATATAGCCATCTTTCATTTATATATATAATATATATATTTTATTATATATTTTACAACATTTTTGCACTTTTACATATATGACGAAATGTAAACATAGAAATTAGGTATTATTAAGAACTTGCAGCTTTTTCACTAATTTTGTGTCACTTCCTTTTAACTTGTATTCTCCTTTCACAATTTCACACTCCACTTGGCACTTGGCGTTGACTTTCTCACAAGTTTATTTAAAAATAATACACACCCCCTTACTTTTAACAGCGTGAAAGTTTTCCAATTTCGAGTGCCAGAATTAGTTGTCATTGGCTGGAAAATTTCCTTAATTTCAACAACCTAAATACCCTTACTAAAAGATACTCAAAGAACAAGGTCTTTCAATTCGGTATCGATTAATGTCTGCAGAAATCATTTCGCCATACAAACTTTCTATTTTCAAATATTGTTTTAAAAATATTAATCGTACACTTGTCACGGTATAAAATCGAAGATTTCTATTAATTTACATACACCAATCACATACTTTTGATCCGAGATTTTAAGGATAAGCTTTGATTCTTTGATTCAACATGTTCTCTGCCCAAAAACGTTCATTTTGCATGGAAAGAAATGAAATATTTGAACAATCAGTTGCGCGGGAGCTACATGCTATGCCAATCTTCCGAACTTGAAATTTAACAGTTTTAGACGCTTATTTGTGAGAATAATTATACGAAATTACTTACAAATGTATGCTTCTAGGAAAAAAAATCACCTGCGAGTAGGAAGATTAAATCAGCTCTTTTTCGCCGTATCGAAACGAATTTCCTTCTCCTTCTGGTAATTCGAACCAAAGTATTCTTTATGGAATGGTTTGTGATGCTATAACTGGATTTATGGAGTGCACTGGCTATGGTATGATGTTTCTTGATTTCTTGATTGATATAAAACTTTATAGAATGACGAGACGCACCCTTTTAGCCCGCACGCTCCGACGTCTTACGTTTCATTGAACCAGGTTTGGATGATATGGCATTAAATATTGTATTGACGAAAATTTTTGAATGGGGTGACCCCCTTGATCTCGAGCACAAATGCATTTTGCAAGCCACATAACAGAATTCTTAGATTTAATATTTTACAAGCTTCCCTGTAGGTATTAGGTAAATAGGGATATAAATAACCCAAACGCAGTCACACTTCATCGTAAATACTGTGATTGAGAGTTCTGTTGTTGGCGAAAACCACAGATATTTTCAAATTCACAAAAGATCCGACACCATAAATCGGAAGCTGTTTTATGACCTCGTAAAGCTTAAGGCTATCACCTATGAATTACGGAGGGGCGGATAGGGTTGGAGGAATGTAGGCCCCTGTGAAATCTACTCCAATTAAAGAGAGCAATTTTGGTTAGAGCTGGAGAAAGATTTAATTCACATGACGACACCTTGCCAAGCCTAATGAGTCTGCTGTGGCTTTGATGTGACTTTCCGGATGAAAAACGGATACGAATATGTTATGGTATATGGAGAAACCAACTCAAGAGATTAGGCACATGCATTTATGTCAAAGAGCTGCTCTCACAACAGAAAACCAAACGTTTTCCAACTCTAGCTTGCTGTAGGAAAACACAACAGGGTTTCGTCTCCCTCGCATAGTATTTAGGGCAGTGTGCGGCAATTGTCAAGAGATAAGCCTTCTCTTTAATGCAAATCTCCGTCTTCACAGTGTGGAGTGTGAAAGAATAAAAGAAATTGTTATCGACCTGATAAAACTATCAGCGGAAATCAACACAAACAAAGTCAGCCACAGAATCACTGTCGCCAATAAATAGTGAACGATTTAATCATCGCTCTCCAGGCAGTCAAACATTAAATACACATTAATATATACATATCGCCCTGTATAAACGTAACGGATGGAGTACACCGAAACGAGCTAAAATCCGGAGGTTGCACTTAAAAGTCATGTGAGCTACACAAGTTGGGTGTCCACTGTATAATGGCGAGGAAGAGATATTATTATTGGAACAACTTTTGGATATTTGACTTATTATGAAATTGAATTCAATGTACATACGTGTATGTATGTACTAGCTTGCTGCTTTTTCCGATTGGTATGCTGAACTAAAGAACATTTATCTATTTTATTTACCACAACGATGAAAAAATTAATATTCAAACATTGAAATTCCTCATCATTTCAATATCTCAAACACTTGCTACTGCACAAAAACAGACACCAGAAACGGCTTAAACAACACACGAATACACGAATATTCGTGCTCTAAAGTATTTCAAAATAAATTTTATTCTGTAAAAGGTAAATAAAATAAAGGAAAAAACACGAGTCACTTTCAACGAAGCCAGTTTGTCTATTTAAAGGAATCCGACATCTTAGGCAAAGTTTCACCGTCACAGTTACCCAAAGCTCGCTGAATTGATTCGTAGTGAACACACCCAGTCAATTGTAACGCATACGCATCCGCAGCAGTCATAGAGAGCAGTAGATTGACACAAGTATGCGAATGCTTATTACTGCAAGCTGTTGAATTGGGCCTTTAGTGTTCGTGGATAATTGTGTGTACGAACTGAGTTTAATTGTAATTCTGTATACCCACCCTGTCTCCTGTCGCCTGAAAGTTGGTAACGAAATCAACAGGATACCACTCATGGACACACACACACACACACACGTGCATAATATGCATACAGTACGTAGGACAAACTACAATACATATAGGAATTCCGTTATGGCTCTTCTCTTACACTTATCAGTGTACATTTTCACAAGCACATACATACATACATACATACATACATACATACATATGTATTCGTTAAATATGTATGTAGTAAGTCTACACGCTTATCTGTTGATTGTATCGCTGGATGAAGTCTTACATAAGTTCCTGTATTCCATTGTATTATTTTGCCGCATTAACACATTCGCATTGAGAAATTTTCAAGTAAGTAATCACTGGCTTCTGGTGTTGAGACAGCATCGCGCTGTAAATTGCACGGATGAATACACGTAGGTGCGCATGAATGTGTGTGTTGCTGATTTAAAGATAAATATATTTGGGTTATGGTACTTTTGCATTGCGATGGATATATGTGTGTATATACGTTGTAAATCATATGTTGGTTTATGTGTAGATATACACATACGTACATATGTATGATAAAGCTCGTTGAAGTTGAAATATAGCGGATTTGGCAATTAGCGCGATTAGCCACTCAATTATGGATAATTAAATACTAAAATTGTGGGGCACTAAAAACACTCACTTTAAAGAAAACGGCACCGTATTTTTGTTTTCCCTACCACAGCACATACAATTCGGTTGAGTAATTTTTTTTTTTAGTTTTTTCTTTTTTAATTTTCTGTATTTTCACTTTTATGCAGTTTCTTATAGTGTTTCGGTGGGTGTTTGTTTTTTCCTTTATACAAATTTTTCTCTAAAGGAGCCACCCTTCGGTTTGTAAAATAATTATTTTTCTGCGTCTATTCAATGTATCTAGGGTATTGCGGCGCGAACTATTTACAATCTTGACATGTTTTAAGTGTCATTGAAACGTACGAGCACTTCCAGATTTCATTACCAACTGCCGCACCACTAAAACGGCTTGAACATTATTTCGTGTGTATCAGGTGGCTTCGGAGACGATGCGTTCGGTTTTCTCTGTCGCTTGCTTCGCATATCCACCCAAAGCCCGCTCATTGCTCTTTTCTAATATGTTCCACATGCTTTTCGAACTACATCCGAAAGTTGTACAGCCGACTTCGCCAAACATTCTCCTATGCTTCTCACGCTGTTTGCGCGCTCATAGACAAATGAGTAACTGTATGAATATGCGTGTGCATATGTGTGACAATAGCGTTCGGACTTGAAGCAGCAAATTAACTACTAAAATCCACTGCGTACCAATTAATTAGAGTCCTTTTTTTATAAATTTTTGTTGAGTGCTCTTTTAAGAAAGTACCACTCTTCTTTATTTCGAATTGAGGTAGGAGTTAAAGTGAGATTTGAATTTGGTATCGTATTACGAGTTCTTGTCAAATACGTGTTGAATACAATGATATCAAATACTCGTATTTAGGGAATTTTACTTTCTCTTCTTTCCAACAAAAACGTAGATATTTTCATGGCACCGTTCATATTTCTTCTAAAGGCATTTGATTTAACCGCTCAAATTGATGGTTTAGATTAATTATTGACAGAGATCAACAACCAGGTCTTTTTCTACATAAGCGTACAACTCGTTGTTGGCATGGCCTATATGAAAGCTTACTCCCATATTATGCTTATACTTACATACATGTTCATATTTACATACACATATGTATATGGCATGATATGTATACCGCGATTTTAACTTGGCTGTACAGTCGGTTCGAACACTGACTCACTCTCTGGTATTTCTCTCAAATTTCCATGGCTTGATTCGTTTATAATTTGAGTCGAGTGCTTCGTACGCACGCACAATATCCCTCAATCCTGTTTATTCGAATTTGTATCAGTCATGCGTTTACTTAAGAAAACCTCTCGTCCCTATTCGCTTTCTACTCTTTTTTGAACTCCTATGTACAACATCACTAGACAAGCTGGCGCCCACTTCGTTGGTAAAATAATTCACAGACCTTTTGTTGTTAGAGCCGAACACCGCACATATCTCTTTAATTCAATATTGTTTTAAAATGTGGATGGTATTGGAAGCTATTCTATTTATAATGGAACGAAGGGAAGTCCAATGTAATAGAGGTCAAACTCCGCCGAGTTTATTTAAATACTAAAATACAAATAAATTAAATTCATTTACGGCGGTCGCTGTAGCCAAATGCTTAGCATAACGTAGTGTCATTCTGTTAGGCAGGGTTTGAGTCTTGGCTCGACCAACATTCGATCGCCACTCGGCAAGTTATAAGGAATGTCAAGCCTCCCGAGTATATTTCTGACAGGAAATAATGACTCCTCATAAAAACCAACAGCCGTTTGGAGGCCGCTTAGTATAAACTGTCCCATCAAGACACATACTACCTCCGCTCCGTTAAAAGGATCAGGTGGAGACCTGGTTTCACTTGGTATTTTTAACTGGCGACAAAAAGCGAAGAGAAGGAACGAATGGCGCGCTATTGTTGAGTAAATCGAAACTTCATGTGGCAATTCTTGTCAGAATTTTGAAATATCTTTATTTCGACATCCATATATTGTAATAAGACACATTGTATTGCAAATTATATAAATTAAGCAAGTGACAACATTTCTAAAATATGTTTTTTATTAAGCTTTTCTTCAGTTTCTTCAGTTTGATACTCACATTGTAATAAATAATTTATTTTACTTATTTTTTTTCAAATTTAAATTTCAGGAGAATCGGCCTTGGGTCCTGGGTCAGCCATTTGTAAATCTAAATCATTTTTGAGCAAACTGAATACAGAAACAAAACAGATGGCAAGTCTTTTAAATTACATGGGACTATTCTGAAATCCGATCAGAATGAAAAAATTAGAACAAAGAGCACATCCGATTTGAGGTCGATTCTGTACTGCGGGCTGCTCGCAACTCTTACCAATCGTTACTGAGCCGCATTCGTTGACGCAGGCAACTAGAAATATTTCCAATGGAAGAGCACAAATGTCGACATTTAGCTTGAAGGCGAAGTTACAAGTTCCGATCTCAAGTTATAAGGCAACTCCAGAAGCCTGATCTTATTATATAAAAATTAAGATGAGTTTTATTCACATTGGATTCTTAAATACATAAATAATTTGTGGTTTGTACAAACGTGTAAATGCCATTTTTCATGAGTAATTTATTGACGGTAATTGTACAAATCTTAAAATCATGTTATCTTGTGTTAACCCTGAGCCCTTTTTGAACTATGGCGTCCACCTTTCTTTTGGTGACGAACTCAGCGTTAATTGAAAAATCCAACAAACCTGTGACCGAAAACCAGCGACAGTCCGTACTGCCCTGAGCTCGACACCGATCTTGTAAGGCCTCGATTTCAGTTGCCTCAAAGCAGCTACAGATTTTCCCATTGGCTGCTATAAATTATGTGGAAAAAGGAGATCGAGATTACTTATATATGCAGGGTTGACCATGTGAGATGAACTCCAAAACTGTGAAACTGCAACTATGACCAGAAAGGTCAGATCGACCAATGACAGAACGTCAGTATCAGCTGAAATTTTACAGTTGCAACTTTTCAATTAGTAAAACTCAACGTCCGTAGAGAAAAAAAGTAAAGAATGCATTGTCAAAGAGCAAAAAAAATGCTTGCACGAAGGATGTTGGTCTTCTTGAGCTTCTTCTCAATTCAAAAGTGACAGTTTGATGTAGAATTTGTGCTGAAATTATAATAGAGTTAGCTGCATTAACTCCTGAATTAATCTCCAGCCGTCATTGCGATAAAGGGATTATCGTCTAGGTAACAACAGCGCACTTTCACTGTTTGGCGCCAATTGGAAATACTAAATGCTTCTACGTCCATGATCATTCCAACGAAGTGGAGGTCTTCCCCTGATTCACCTCCACCGTGGGTTGTGTATGCATATGCAAGTTAACGATTTTATTTGTTTTTTAGATAAAAAAATCTGCTTTTAGTTCTTACGACTAAATTACAACTAATGCACGGGAGCTTAGCTTCATTGTTGTTGGTGGCGCGTGCATTCTGGACTTTCGCTCTAATTTGCGCCGCTGACGCAGGTTGTGCTAACGGTGTAAATGTCTGTAAGTAAACGTGGGACACAAAAGTGTTTTTTTTCTTGGAATTACCATACTTTCGGGAGCGTGTGCACTACTGGCTTTTGTTTTGATTTTGAAACATAATTTTAATTGTTGCCGCTGATTTTGCTAACAGTTCGTCTAGGTGGGAGTTTTGTAGCTTTAAAGTTAACATTTTTTATGTACACATCTATGTATATAAGCCAGACTTGTGTATATGGATATATATGTATGCGTCAATAATTTTCTTTTAGAATCATCCTATAATTATATATACATACATACATACATACAATACTATAATGATGTACAGCTCACGAAATCCATATCCATTTAATGAGGTTTTTTTTTTGACAAAAGGATAATTTTCTATGCTCGTACCAAGGCTCTCCTTTAATTAGAAGACCATTTCTTGACTAACTTATTTATGACCAAAAATTCCTTGAAAAAAAAAATAAAATATCCGTGTGTAAAAACAGACAAAATTCTATGACGTAAGTTAACGTGAAATATTTCAGAGTTTGTGGGCGTCTGGTATGAGGTTGAAACCGCAAGAAGTGTCCGGCAATGGATGAGAGCATTTAAATATGCACAAAAAAACTTTCAGGCAATGCCCCGAAGACATGAAGATTACTTTAATCGCTTTTGAATTCGAAATGTTTCTTTTAAGGTTTCTAATGTCAAAGTATTTTGAGCTTAAATACGGAAGAGATACATAGTGGGCCATCATACTAGGATGATATGAAGTTATTTTTAAATAAAGAAAAACTTTGGTTATGATCGACCAGCCTGAAATTTGATTGGAAGCATGATGAGCACCAATTTACGTGAGGCTGTTGCTGTATGATTTAACCGAGATGGTTTTAAAAACTGTTGTTAGTTGAATCGTTGGTTGCAATATGTATGCGTATCGCTTCTTCTTCTTTATTATTGGCGTTTGCACCGCTTACGCAATTAAAGCCAAATCTATTATAGCGCGAAATTCATCTCTCATTTTCGCTGTTTGGCGATAGTTGAAAATACCAAATGAAACCAGATCGCTCTCCACCTGAGTGGAGGTCTTCCTCTTTCTCTGTTTCCAACAATGAGTACTGCATCAAATACTTTCAAAGCTGGGGTGCCTTCATCCATTCGGACGATATGATCTAGCCAGCATAGCCGCTGTCTCTTCATTCGCTGAACTATGTCGATATTCTCCGTTGTCAATACGCAAATGACCATAAATCGTTCGCAAATCTTTTTTCTCGGCTTCTGCGCCAAATAGTTAGACAAGTAAGATGGCTGACTCGTAGAGTTTGGGGTTTGTTCGTCGAAAGAGGAATTTACTTTTCAATTGCCTGCTCGGTTCAAAGTAGCACCTATTGGCAAGAATAATGCTCCATCGGATTTCCAGGCTTCATAGTTATGACTGTCAACAGTGACGTGAGAGCCAAGTAATGAATGCGATTGTTTGTTTAATGACAAGAGATATTTCATCGTATCCACGTTCACTACCAGACCCATTGCTTTGCTTCTTTAACAAATCCGGTCAAAGAAAAACTCATGGGGCGGTTGTTAACGCCTATGTTATCAACCTCATCGGTTAGGATGCCATTACTTGTACACTCTGGTAATCTGGTTGTATCTTGTTTATTTAGCTCTGCTCCATTTATTAGTTTCTCCAGCATCAAATTGAAGAAATAACACGATTAAGAGTCACCCTGTATGCAACCTCGTTTGGTGCCGATAGGCCCCAGTGGTCCTACCCAATTCTGACTGGGCTTCTGGTGTTGTCTAGCGTCAGTATACTCGTATTAAGCTGGTTTATCCCGCAGCCTGTGGTTGGAGAAAAGAAAAAGGTTAGGGTAACGAGAAAGGCCAAAAAATCGTTGTTTTAAGTGCAAAGATAAAACATCCAAATTAAATGTTTAAAAAGGCGCTGCAGAATATCAACAGCAGCAAGCTTAGGTTAAATATATCGAGTAAACAGAAAAAAACGTACATACGAAGCTTAAGGATTTGTTTAAAAGGATATACTTTTTTAGGGTGCGATATTTTTAGCTTTATGAGATACCAGATATGACCTATTCTTAACGCCCCGCGGTAAATTCTTGTTGTTAATTAACGACATAGAGCTTAGCGAAGATAAAAGGCAAAAGGTTGGCAGCGAAATCGCCTGATTAACGACTATGCTAAATATGCTGGCAGCTTTAAAACTCTAATGGTGTTGGTATGGAACTTGAGGTCGCGTTTCGGAGCTCAGGGAATGTGATGGGCTCCGTACTATGAGTTCAAAGTAAAATTTGTATTCAATATTTTTAGTTACTGTACCTAAGAGATGTTATCGTAGAATAAACTCAGCATTGGAGTGACAATAATACTAAAGCTTGCTTTGAGAGTACTCAGCACAATTTTTTTTTGCTTACTTACTCAGTCTGTGTCTGGTAATCTTTAGTAGCCGAATTCCACTTCTGTTAACGATAACTTCGTCATTTTATACAGTTGCAAAAATGTTGCTCATGCGACATGGATAACCTTTTATTTTCAACTTAATGTTTATTATATTATTTATTATTTATTTATTTATAACGGGCGCTGATGAGTCTTTTATTTTTTTATTTAATTATGTGTAATTATTGTAATTATGATGGGAAACATAATCACATGCGGATTTAACTATTTTAGAAAATATTATAACGGGTGAGTAGAAAAGTCTTGTTCACTAGTAGGTAGTAGCACGAAAGCGATCAAAAAATAAACTAAACATAACCCCGAGCTATCGACATCCAAAGCCAATCTTCAACAAAAGAAGATTGTGATTTCTCTGTGGTGAGATTGCACGGATCTATGTTGCTCTTCATTTAGTAATCTAATTTGTTAATACGTACGTATAACCACTGTCATCAAGTATCGAAATTTTACAGAGAAATAAAATACCCCTTAATTGGGCAATTGTAAAGTGGCATCGTTATAACCATAAGGCCCTCACCTCTTTGATGAGCCGTCAAAAATCAGCAGCGCCCAATTTGGAAATGGTGATTCAGCCACCACATAGCTTTAACATAGGCATCATTAGTTTATCAGTGATTTTGCTCCCTTCGAAATAATTTAATTTGCTTAGTAAAAATGAGTTGGACCGATTTACCTAGTCAGAGAGGCACTTAATGCGCAGCAGATAGTGAAATACGGTTATTGAGTTCAACATAATCGTTCGGCTTTAAGCTCATCAGAAGTTCAGTTAGCTTTTTAGCGAAGCGACAGGGACTAAGTAGATGCGCAATAAGGAATATCTTGCAGTCAATGAGGTAGAAAATTAAGTTGCAACAAATCGACGTATTTAGGAGAAGCAGCAATAGTTTAAAATACGATTGTCAACGAGTAAAGATTGTCAACGAGTAAAGAGGGCAGTCGTCAATGTTTCTGGCAAAACAAGAGGAATCAGCACTTGTCACCAAACGGAGAAGGAGAACACATGGAAGATCATATTGACTACGGAGGCCTTATGTAGCAAGCAAATAAACGTTACATATGTATTCTGGTACTCGTTTGAAGCTCTCTGGCTATATGCAACTCCTAGCACAGGAACCTCGGAAGTAATTGTTCGACTGAGAAAACTATCAGTCATATTGGCAATCTATAGTGAATCATTTCGGATAGAGGAACAGTATAATAAAACTGAAAAAATTCAACATTTATTGATATCCGCCAAGATGACACATCGCATTATAATCCCAAATCTAGCTAAGGTTTGCTGTTAAAATCCAGAAAATACCCCACATATAAAGAACCAGAACTTCACCATTCAAGTCGTTGACTGAAGTTGAGATCCGAGTAAGTTAAATACCAGAATTACAAGAATGCTTTGATTTTGAAGTTGCTGAGGATCTGAATAGAAAAAGAAAAGATATGCGGAAAGAAGCAAAACAAAGCTGTGTTCGTTGAGAAATGTCAGTAAAAGTTAGCTAGTAACGAAATTGAGAGAGTAAGATGTCTTACTCTCCCAAACAGGATTAAGTAAAAAGTTGCATAACAGTTGTTTCTTTTGGCGGTTAAATTTGGATCCGTTTATTTGTACAGTTTATTG